ATTCGAACCCACGACCCTCAGATTGCGAGTCGAGTGCCTTATCCACCTGGCCATGCCGGGCGTTGGAATAGCATTTTATACGTTACTATGTTTAATAAATTTACAGTTGAGTGGTATTTCTTACTTAAAAATTGCTCCCCAGTGGCACAGCGGTATATCTGCAGACTTATAACGCTAGAATCCGGGTTTCGATACCCGTGGTGGACAGAGCACAGATAGCCTATTGTGTAGCTTTGTGCTTAATTACAAACTAACTAACTAACAAACAACTTAAAAATTAAAATAATTATTAAATAGTATGCAGTAAATTTTTTTAAAACCCTAAGAAGAAGTTAGGTGACAGAAAACCAGGTCTTCGTTTAATCTTCACAAATATTTTATACAAATAAGCGTTCCTGCAATATCAAACCATTTCAGATGAGATCTGGAACTTTTTGTTCAGTGAGATTCATAAAACACAACTTGTAATTTCGGGGGAAATAAAATAAAATATGCACACTTACATTGGTGGTTCAAGATCAGGACGACTACTCCAGTTCCATATCCACTCATTCGATACATGTTTTTTCTTAAGTTGATTTTTGTCCTTGAAGGTGTAAACATAAGGTATTGATGCATCTCGCTTTTCGGATTGACCATGGGCAGTAAAATGATGTATCAAAGTATTTCCGCAATGACCTCTGTTCTCTTCAGTATTAACATCAATTAATGATGTATGTTGTTTTTTGGACTTAGTACTGTCCTGATTTTGAAAATAGGATAAAGAAGTGTGTTGATATTCAAGCTGACCAATTTCCTCTTGAGTCGGAAAGTAGAGTAACTGTGTATGTTGTATTACAGGATAATCACTGTCATCCTGTTTAAGTAGTGGTTTGTTTTGTATTTCGGGATGACCACTTTCTCCTTGACTATCATTGTGAATTAATGGTTTGTTTCCTCTTTCAATGCGGCCATTGGACCTCTGGGTAAAAAAAAAAAAAAATGAAACAATGATAATTAAAAATATGCCGAATAATTGATGCTGATTAATAAATAAATTAATAGTTCCTACCGTAAATAACTTGGTACGTGTCACTAGTAATTTGCGCCTACAACTCCTCAAAGACAATTATATCATTATGTACCCATTGTGCGCAATGCGTATTTTTAAACACGTTTGTGTGGACTAGTACCTAGGTGGTGAGTTTATTGAGGACACAGAGTTGTATATGTGAAGTTTTTATTCTACTATATTTTTTAATATTATTTAAGTACCACAAATATTTTAATAGATAAAATAATTTCCAAACACAGATTATTTAAATTGCCTCCTCCCATCCAAACAAGCTAATCCATGAATGGTTTACATTCTTTAAAACAATATTACTATTAGCCCAGCATGGCAAGGTGGTTCAAAGGTTCGCGGGTTCGAATCTCCATTACACCAAATATGCTCGCCCTTTCAACCATGGGGGCGTTATAAGTGACGGCCAATCCCATTATGCGTTGGTAAAAGAGTAGCCCAAGAGTTGGCGGTTATATGGTGATGACTAACTGCCTTCCCTCTAGTCTTTCACTGCTAAATTATGGACGGCTAGCGCAGATAGCCCTCGTATAACTTTGCGCGAAATTCAAAACCAATATTACTATTACATTGCCTTATTAAACTAAGAAGTAAAACTTTTATTTGCTTGGTATGTAATCATTGTACGTTGTAATATATACTTACAACTGTTGCTTGAATTACTCTGTTTTACTGGTTAAGTTTTGCGTTTAATATTTTTCCGATAAAAGTCTTAGAAAAATCAATTTCTGTTCTCTATTTCTATCATAATCGGTCCCGGGGATGAAAACGAGTATTGTGTCCTATTACCGATTACTTGCAGATTAATCGCCATTCCTCTAATCATAACTGCAGTTTCACAAGTTGGCTTTTGATATCTTGGGTGTAAAAACGTGGGATAATAACACCTGCTTCTTCTCACATTATAACTGTAACAGCTGAATGACTTTTTTATTGGTTCTCCGATTAGTAGTCCACTTAGTTCATCCCTAACAAACTTTCATTAAGTTTTCAACTGTGCAATTTTTTCCAGAAAAATAATAACACTTTTTGTATATAGTTTTTCCACAAATGTTTAATAAAACCACGATTACAATATTTGGTATAAATCCGTTTTACTCTAAATTTCATTAAGTTTTTAACTGTTTCGAGAAAAATAATAACACTCTTTATTTATTGTTTTTCCCACGTTTGCAATATTCGGTATAAGTCCATTTTACTTTAACACAGGATCTCTTCCTCAATCAGAGCCGAAATACGTTTTGGGGTGACAAGGCAAGGAACAAAAAATTCCGCTAATTGCTTCTAGGAGATTTAGCATATACCGTTGGAAATTTCGGAATCTGCTATGTCCAAATATACAATCCATAATATGGTAACTTTTTACATTGTCTGTTTGAGGTTGGAGATGTTGTCCTTGATCTTTTGATTTGGTGGAAAGCTACTACTACCACTATCACTACTGTCCTCGTTTACACCAAACCTATTTTTGAGTGCCGCCACAGCATCTTTGGGCTTGATAAATGGATTTACCTCAACAAGAGCTATCAAAACGTCCATCGTAATCGCATCAACAGTGGCGGCACAGGTTACAATTCGAACATCTTGGAACCTTGCATATGGAAATAATCAATGAAATAATGGTGACTGATTTTGACATGCCAAAGAGTATCAAAGTTGAAGACACGGTCAGCGGGGCTTGGATCTATCTGCTGAAGATTCATTGGGTCCTGATCTTAAAAACAGATGCAACAACGAGCGAAGAAGAAGGAGGGTCACTTAATTGGTTACAAAACAAGAACTATTGGGTTTCTGCTGCTAATTTCACGAATCATAACTCAATCAATTTTTGTCCAATTTGAAAATTTAAATTGCAATCGTCATATCACATCGTATACTACACCCTATATAAGTTTTACCAAAATCTAATAAATCCCAGATTTTGTACGTCTGATCCCTGACACCGAAGCACCACTAGTTGAGGGAGAGATTCTGTGTTAAAATAATGTTCGTATTTTTTGTCTCTCTTTCTTTCTTTTATTTTTTGTAACATATTTACTTTATGGATTGCATTTGCTGCAATCTAAAGGACTGAAAAAGTACTGGGGTATAATTTTACAAAGCAAGTCAATGTTTTTTAAACGTTCAATGATAAAGTGATTATTGAAATAATTCAGGGAATCGTTCCTTTACTATTCCGATACTACATTTTCTTCTAAACCATAAACAGTAGACCGTAGGTTAAATAAGCTTACGTTTGGAGTCTTTGTTTTATATATTTTATTTTGGTGAGAAACTACCTATTCCTTAACCTATTAAAACGCTTAAAAAATTAAAACAACTGTTTCATTTAATTCAAACTTATTAGTTTATAACACATATACATATTTGTATAGTGTATGTAAAACATTAATAAATTTGAAATCAATGCAAAGACTGTTCTAATTAGTTAAAGGTTTAACAGTGGGGAATAATTTATCTTCAAAATAAAATATTAAAAACAAAACATTTGAAGTTAAGCACAAAGCTACACAGTGGACTCTGTGTGCTCTGTACACCACGAGTATCGATAGGCGGTTTCTAGCGTTAGAAGTCGGCAAACATACCACTGTGCCACTCAGTTCTAAGTTTATATATATTTGGTTCGAATATCTGTATTTTTCCCCACTTAAAGTTTTCTAACATAATAGTTCCCCCAAAATGTTTTATAAAGAGATTTAGACATATACTGAAGAAATTATTCAAAAATAATTGAACAAAATATATAAAAAACAACATTTTTTTTTACTTTAAAACCACGGAAACTGTTTTTCACGAGAAAGTAACAAACCTAAGAGAAAGCAAGGAAAACATTTTTGAACAATCTGGAAAACTTGGCAGTAGACTTCGTCTGTTACTCTCCTTAAGTACAAACTTTTTGTCCTTGATGAATTTCGAGAAATAAAAGAAAAAAACGGCCTTGATGTGTGTGTGTGCACTTAGACACAACAATGTAACTATTTATAACGTGTCGACAAATAGAAGGAAAGTTTCGTCGTGTCTTCAACCATAAGAAGTTGCAGACTAGAAAACAGAGCATATCAACTGAAAGATGTAAACAATCTTCATGAATTCAATATACTAAGGAAAATTTGTAAATAATAATATTAAATGGCAAAAAGCAACTAATGTTGGAAAGCTCAGCGGCTTTTATAGTGTTGCGTCAGCGAGATCACGTGACTATTCTCACGCCCTCTGCTTTCTAAAACTATCCTGTACCTTGGCGAATGCTCTAGCATTTACTAGATATAGGGTAGTCTGGTATATATAAAAGGGTGACAACGTGACGGGACAATAATGAATGTGAGTAACTGATCTGCA